TTCCAGATTACTGACTCTATGGGTACCACGTGTACTTCCGTCCCCGCCTCTGCACCTGTCTCTGTGCCTGCCTCCACACCTGTCTCCATGCCCGTTTCTGTGTCCGTCTCCGTGCCTACCTCCATGTCTGTCACCGTGCCTGCTTTAGTCTTTATTCCCCCACATGCTGCACTAACACCGTGTGACCTCCTTTGTGAGATCATTGACACAGTTACACTTGGTTGTGGAAAACATCGAATTTGTCGACATCACTACAACCGTATAATTTTTCGGGCCCGCTGTCGGCAGGGATTTTCCCTGTATCCGAATTGTGAACATCCTCTACATCCAGATGCAGTATGTCCCATCTGTGCCTGCGGGCGCTATAGCGAATGTGCACTTAACTGTGATGGTGAACGCCCCAGAATCGTCATGGCCTGCAACCGGCATGCCCTCTGTCGTGCGTGCTTCAGAGGTATGGTTAATGCTAGCCGCCCTGGATCCTGCTGTGACGAAGTTGCTTACCTGAATGGTTTTCGTCCTGTAGATCAGCGGGAGGGCTGCTACCATCGCCCGCATCCTTATGACAGTGGTCCTATCTGTCGTGAGGGTCTTACTTAGACGTACCTTGCACCCTGACAAAAATGTGCAGGTGCGCTGAAAAGAGTGTACAAGAATGTGCAAAGGTGGGRAACCCTTCACTAAAACTGGAAAACTGTGAAGAATGCAATAAAAGAAGAACATAAGTTTGTGTCATTTTACTTTGTTTGTACCCTGCACCCTAACACCCTCAAAAGAATAGTCCGAAGGGTGAAAATGAGGATGGAAAATGAAGAAGGAAGTGCAGGTGTGCTGAAAAGCGAACATGGTAGACTCTTCACCAAAACTGCAAAACTGTGAAAGAAAGAAGAATGCAGTAAAAGAAATAAGATGTTTGTGTCAACATTTTTCATTTTTTCTCCCTCTGCCTATTGGTTTTCCTTTTCTGCTCCTCTCTTCCTTGTGTTTAACACCTCTTCCTTCACTCTGCCTCTTTCCCATAGCGTGCAAGTGGGCTGTTATGGCATACGGGGATGGGGGCAGCTCGCGCTCAACTTCATCAACGTGGCGAGCCTTGTACGTTAGAGGCACAGTGGAGGAGGCGTTAAGAAGACTGAGAAACTGCATGATTTGATTCAGTGTACTTTTTTTGTAAAACACTGAAAGAAATAATAATACTGTGAAACAAAGAATAAGAGGACACTGTTTTGTGTCATTCTGGTTTGTCTGTCTCTTTGCCTGTCTGTCCTTTCATTTTTCTTTTCTTCGCTCATCTTATTTCTTCTTCTACTTCATGTGCTTACGCTCGTAGTCAATCGTTCTGTGACAATATATATATATATCGTCACAAACAGAACTGCCCGGTAAACCGTAGGCAGAGAGAAAGAAGAGGACAACAAACGAGGGGCTGTGACAAACTGTTTCGTCGTATATATACGATATCTATATATCTATATATATTTATATATCTATATATATATATATCGTCACAAACAGAACTGCCCGGTAAACCGTAGGCAGAGAGAGAGAAGAGGACAAGTATATATAAGGTTCAGCCTCCTGATAAGTCGGTGAAACTCCGACGAAACAGTTTGTCACAGCCCTCCGTTTGTTGTCATCTTCTCTCTCTCTGCCTACGGTTTACCGGGCAGTTCTGTTTGTGACGTTATATATCGATATACACGCCTCTGACCATTGGGAGGTGTGGAACGACGGTGTCATGGTCCATGCCATGATTGATATTACTGATTTCTTACTCTATGATGCTGTTCTCTTGCCACATCAAACTGTC